GCCGCCGCGTCGCGCAAGGCCGAGGCCGCCGGCGGTCAGGAGGCGCCGGACGCCAGGCGGAGGTCTACGCGTCAGCGCCTCGGCAAGCACCGAGCGCCCAAAGACGACGACGCGCAGGTGAGAGACGGCTGCGCCGGAGGGATTTTGGGGAATGGAGAGAGGGTCCCAAAAGCCTCGTCAATCAATGAATGAATACGACGTGTGGCGTACAGGAGGAGGAGGAGCCTCTCGTTCTGGACAAAAACCCTCTGGAGTGGAGCGTGCAGGAAGTGGTCCAGTTCATCACCAGCACCGACTGCGCGTCGTCGGCCAGCATTTTCCAGGAGCAGGTGAGCCGAAGCGGCCGAGAGCGCCGTCGCCGCCCGCCCCGGGGGGGGGAGCCTCGCCCATTGTTTTGCTGCCGGTGCCGCAGGACATCGACGGCCAGGCCATGCTGCTGCTGACGCTGCCCACCGTGCAGGAGTGCATGGACCTGAAGCTCGGGCCCGCCATCAAGCTGTGCCACCACATTGAGCGCGTCAAGGTGGCTTTCTACAGACAGTACGCCAACTGAGCCCGCTTTTTTTCGGGAACTCTTCCCAAAGCTGTGAGAGAAGCTTCCAAAACGTGCCGGAAAGGCCGTTTTTTTTTTTTGTTGAGGAATTCAGTTTTCATTTCCTGGTCGAGGAGCACTTGGGCGTTGAATTGAAACGCAATGCGGCCCATTCGTTGATATATTTGGAGTATTTATTGCCGTGCTCACTTTATGAGGCTTTATTTACTGTTCTCCGGGAAGTTTTTAATTTATTGCACAAACTTTACGCATTCCCAAGTGTCGCTCCTTTCGTTGGCTGCGTTAACTCCGAACCGACCGACTGCTGTTTTTGTGTGTTCATCTTCTATGCAAATGTCTTGTTTGCTGAGGTTTTGGTCAGCGAGGAATTAAAAATTTCTATTCATTTGTATCACCTTTGTCCTGTTTTGTTGCCACGACAACAGTGCTTTTTTTATTTTGTTTTTCTCTCGCTGTCCTCATGAAGCCTCAAAAAACGGATCAAGTGAGGCGGACGCTTTGAGAATATTTTGAGCGCTCAAGTATTGACCAGAACAAAAATCCACCACGTGTTCAGCGGCCGTATTAATTAGCGGGGATTAGCTTCCGGTTTGACGAACCAACCCTTTTGTTTCCGCTCAATCAAGATTTGTCAGCCGGCGAAACCCGAGAGACGAGCATTTTCACACGAAGACCACATGGCGGAAGTGAAAAGGCTTTTAAAGGTAAGCGCGAGCGTTCGTCTTATTGCGTTAGCGTGTTGCTCGCGTGCAAACTTGACTCGGTGGAAAGTTGAGACGCTCTTAAAAGACAACGCTGTTCTCAAAAGTAGCCTTGAACGGCACTGAATTGGAAATGTCTCGATTTGAAAACACCAGCTGCAGCGTTGCACTCCGATGCCTGATGTTGAACGCGAGGCCGTGGAATTAGCACGCTCTACTTGTGCGCGAACGTGCACTCGTTGCAGCACAATTGTGTGCCTCATCACACTTTTGCTGCTCTTTTGCATGCGTAGTTTCATAATATGAACAACTACAAGAATAATCTGCGTGAAATTCAGCGTAGCCTGGAGGGAATTGTGGTCTCGTAGCATCTGGTTGGCTACTGGACTGGTTTCCATCTGTTAAAAAAAAAAAAACAGCTTCGGACAAAAGATTTTCCAATCATGTGTAATCCCCTGAACAGGAAATGGCACTTTCTCTGCAGTGAAACAACACGTACTGTCTAAAAATATTGAGTTACGGAGATGAGTGGAAAACAAAAAGGGGAGGGGAAAGGAAGTCAAAATAAACGACAGTGTGTCACTTGACAGGCACAACTGGGTTTCCTGCCTCGATGTTTTAATCTTGACATTTGAAATCTTATTGCTGCATAATATAAATACATACACACGCACACACTAAAAGGTCATTGGGTGAGAAATGGCGCCATCTTGTGGACAAAACTATCAGAGCGTCTAGGTTCATCAACGGGGGACAAAAACACAAAACAGTCCGGCTTCCGGTACTTAAGGCGCACAATGACACTTTGTTGTCGAATGGCTTGTTTCTAAAAATTGACACCGAAAGCAAAAAATGAAAAAAAGATGAGGAAATGATATAGTACGTTTAAGTGTAGATTGTTGCAATTTGTAGGACCAACTCATAAGTTTGAAAATTGAAGCTCCATTTTGTGACGCAAGTGTCAAAAATTCCCCATGAGCGCACGCATGTCTTCCCAGGCTCTTGAACGCGCCGCAGTGGCGCGCGCAGCGGTCGCTGTGCTGAAAAGTCCCGCCGCTCGCTGTCAGACTCGTCGCAAACCCTCTTGTCGTCTTCTCTCGGTGAGTTTGGACATTTATCTCCATTTTCAGATCTCGATTTGTCTTTTGGTGCGCTCATTTGATTCTTTCAAGCCAACGTTCGGGCATAGTGACGCTTTGGACTAAGGCCGAGTTCGTAGCAGGGATGATGAGTACGTACTCCGTATTGCAGGTGCACCCTCTTGAGACTGACTCTCGTAGGAGTGACTACGAGTGACTTTTTCATTCATGTCGCTCGCTTTGGTGTCTTTGAGCCCAAGTCCCCCTTGAGTTGAAGGCTTCCCCACCCACAGCGAAGCACCCCGCCTTTCCTCTCAACTTCAAAAAGCTGCGGCGCTTTCATGATCAGGAAAGCAAAGGTCTCCGGCAGCTGGCCCGCTGGCACTCGACCTTGGCGTGCGGAGCCCCCGCGGGTGGGCGCGCCGTTGAACCACCCGCATAAAATATCACCTGGCGCATTCCAGGCCCATTTAGCGGCGATTTGGAGCGGCCTCGATTGGAACCGGAGGCGGCTCACGGGCGCCCGCTTGAATGGCACGCGACAGTGGAGAGGAAGTGAGATAGCTTGCGAGGCGACAGGAAGTTGCGAGTCTTGCGGGGGGGGGCGTTGAACGTCGAGCAAAGTCGGTCTTGTTGTGAAGGCGGCCCGCTTCCTGGATGATCGCTCATTATCCCCTTCGACCTCTCGCCTCGCCGCGGCGTCTCGCTCGCCTTTTCTGCTGTGAAGGTTTGGGCCCTCCCTGTAAATTTGCCCCCATCCGAGGTAGGATTACAGCTCCTAAATCTTCATTCAAAATTTCAGCAAGAGACTGGGGGGGACAATTGTCGGCTTCTAACTTTGTCGGGGCGAAGCTGGAGGCATCCGTGGTTGAATTGGGTGTGCAAGAACACCTTTACAACGTCGTCGAGCGGTGACGCCGAGCCCCCCTTTTGGCAGCGCCGCGGCCACGGAAACCGGGACGTCGTCTTCCACGCTTGCCTTCCTGAAGGCGTCCCAATACTTGCGCCCATGCACATGAATGTCGCCGATGGGCGTTTAGGATTTCAGCTCTATTCATAGTGCCGCACGCAGGCCTCAAATATCCGCGAGCCTCACGTGTGACGAGACGTGGCTCTGCGGACAGCTGCCATCAAGGAGAGAAAGAAAGCCGCTCGATTCTGCCGGCAGAGCAGGAACGTGTGAACGCTTCTAGAGGGATTCAAACAATTTAATGAATAATTCAGCCGTGCGCTCATGAAGGTTGTGCTGGTTCCGCGTCACATGTCTGCTGTGATGTCACATGTCCTTTCTCTTCCTCCCGTAGGTCCCCTGGAGACCACCCACCCCCCCCAGCCCCAACCCCATTCTCGCCTCCTGCTCCTCCTCCTCCGCCACAACCCGTCTCGTTCGCAGGGACGAGGTCGGCTCGTCGTCCGTGGAGGAAAGCCGACGGGAAGATCCCCCCGCCCCCCGGCCGGCCGCCACGTCGCCCTT